GAGTAACAGGACAATTCCTACAACTAACCGTTCAAAGGAATCCAGTCGCTATAACTCGGCTTCCTCTGTCCACTAGGGGGTGCCCTTGCACCACAAATCCTCCAGGGACCACAGTTTGAGATGATAAATCCTTCTTTCAACACTGGCTGTTGGCGGGAGCATGTGAGCATGAATTCAATTGCTGGAACCTCCGTGGTCGCCACGAGGCCGGCACACTTCACTGTGAGGGCCTCCAGTGCTGCTTGCGGCTTTAATTTTTTTTTCATCACATGTCAAGCTAGGAAAAATGAGTCTCAGAGTATTATTTATAGTTGGAGATGTCATGATGGCTGGAGTGGTCTAAACTTTGGCAAACCTGATGGGCAGAACTGGTCAGCAGTGACTGGAAATGTTCAAATATGTTGTTGTTGCAACAGAAAGCAGAAACTCAAAGCAAATCCTCACTGTTTAGTTAAGTGCTTTTAACTGTTGAGTCTGATCTCTGTTTACCTATTGATGTGGACAAATTTACTGACAACGCTGAAAAACAGTGCAAGAAACCTTTAAATGAATTCACCCTTGCATTGCCGTAGCCCAAAAGTACAGTGGGAATAAAAAAAAACAAAACACAAACGTTATGCCACTGAATTGAATTATTCAGTGGGGGAAAAAATGTGATTTGCAACAATAGTTGGTACCCATTTCAATTCTCTTAAACCAAATGTAGTTGAATATTCTTTCTTCACAACAGCCATGTAGTGCTACCCACATGGCAGCTAGTTTAATGATGACAAAAGAATCCTTTTGTGTCCTACCATCACAAATGTAAACAAGTATAGTTTGTATAATTTGTCAGCATTACAAATTGTTTCAATTACTGGCAAATTATGTTTTAGTCAGATGAGACTGACTGAGTTTATCCAGTCTATCAGACTCTTAACAGGGAGGTAAGAATGAGCTGCCCTTCGGTTTTTCAAATGTTCAGAACCATGTTCAGAACCTGGCCAAACTACAAATAGTATGTTGTTGGAGTCCAAATCAAGCTTATTCTATGGCAATCTCAGTCCATAGATCTCAGACCTGCAGAAAATCTCTGGCTCTGATCTGCAGAATGTCATCATGTGAAATGTTATAGGGTGGGAGTACGCGCTGTCCTGTTGGCAAAAGGGTTTTTGTACAACGCGTTTCCAGAATGGGTACTAATAACTTTGCTCCTATGGATGTTTCTTGAAACATAAAATAAAAATTGCCTGAGAATATGCTACTGCGGTAAAAATATATATATATATTTTAAGACCTCTTACTGAACTTGGACACATTTGCCCACTTCTGTACTTGAAACTAAATGAGAAAATCCTGCCACAAGTATTGTCAGTAGTGTGCATGATAATTAATTCGGCTGACAACTGTAAGACTTCTCTTTATATAGCACTGATATTCAAAACACAAGTCTAGCCTCCAGGAGAAATAGGTCCAACTGACACTTCATCTGTTTTATCACGTTATTAGTAGGGGTGTTTGATGTCTTTGTCGTTTAAATCTTCCTCATTGCTTCGCCTAAACAAATAGGTTTTGACCCTATTCAGACTATGATGAGAAAAGCACAAATTGTGCTGTGACTTTGTAATGCTGTTTTATATCTGCATTACATCTACATTAAAGTCACCATTTATTTTTAATTGCTCGTAACAAATCATTCACACATAACGCATTGTGAGTCGAGTCATATTTTTGAGGTTTGGATGAGAGCTGTATTGCAGTTTTACTGTATCATTACTGTTTTCCCTCACATGCCAAATCATTTAAAATGTTTGACGAGCGTTATAATAATATCCCCTGTATTCATCTGCCTGCTGTTTGCCTCTTCTTTTACAGGAAAATGGGAGCAGATATGCCAAAGTCAGCTGGAGGTACTCCCAAGCCCACAATGCCATCCTGGGACCCTCTGGTGAGCTGCTGACAGAGGATGACCTCATCTATCTGGAGCAGCAGATTGCCAATGTCTCTCTTCAGAGGAACTGCGCAGGTTATGAGCTGGAGCTGGCCCGTCTTGCTGAGGAGCTCAGGAACATCCTCCCGGCTCCCATAGTCAACATCACTGTCAACACCCAGTTCAGGAACTTCAAGAGCCAAGTTCCCCTACCTGTGTGGTGTGGCCGGATCTCAGGCATCGTAAAAAGCATGTCTCTGCTCTTGACCAACCTGACAGACCAGCCCTACTGTAAGATGCCCAACACTGAACTCATCACTGTGTTTTCTCAGGCACCAGACAGACAGATCTCCAACAGGGTGCGCAGGGAGAGCATCGAGGACGAAATCCATCAATTCGGAGTGTCCGTGAGGACTTTGAGGTCAAATTTCGAGAAACAGAACACATCTTTGTCGGATCACGAAGAGGAAAGTGTCATGTTCTGTCCTTCCGCGGAGCTTGAAGATACACACCTTGACAAACAGCTGAGAGAGTTGAAACCAGCTGCCGAAGTAGACCAGAACAGTGACTCTGGTATTGACAATGACGAAAGTGTTGCAGATGTTCAGGAAACAATCAGCCTTAGAAAGGAGCGCATAGTGGTCCTGTTCTTAGGTCACTGGAAAAAGTCTGCCTACGCAGTGACGTTGAAGAGCAGGGATGCAGTCGAAAGAAAGATGAGCAACGGAGACCCAGGGAGCCATGATGAGTATGGTTCTGGTCAAAGAGGCAGCGCAGAAAGTGACGAGTCCGTTATGCTGAACAGTTCACTGGGACATTTCTTTAAACAGAGAAGTGCCGTCAACAAGATGATGGGAAACTGGAGGAAAATGATCTCTAGCGTCCCTTCCAGACAGATACGCAGGTAAGGCTGGATAACATAAAAACATCCCCAGTGTTCAGTACAAATTATTCTTCAATAGTAACGGTCCTTAAAAGTATACTTTTTTAGATTTGTAGCATTACAACCACAAACATAACTTTTACACTAGGACCAGTGGGCCAGTAAGTTAGGTTTTGGTCTGCTCTTCCCTGGATGGATTGTTCGAAATGTTTGCCTGGAGGTAAACTGGAAGCAGGACTTCTTCTGGCTTTTCTGCCTATTCTGGTCTTTCCATGTAGGTTTCATACCTCAAGGACATATACACCCAGATCTCTGACCTACCTGCTCTAGCTCCAAGGTTGACCCATGACTTGCATGTTGCTAATTATTCACTCCTTTGGTGACACCTAGAGGGTATGCTTAAACACTGTTGAAGATATCAAAACAATTGTTGTAGTCAGCAGGCATTTTTATCCCAGAGTTTATATGAGCTCATATCGATGCAGAAAATACCTTCAACAACAATGACTAGATTATCACTGTATCCTTGTTAATATTAGTAGTAGTTGTGGTAATAAGTAGAATATACTTTATTGATCCCCAAGGGGAAAATTGCTTATTTGTTGAAAGCTACTCCATCTTAGTTAAAGTTTGTAAAATATATATATACCTAAGGGTGATAAGTTCAAAATTACTAGATATAAACAAATGAATAAATAAATAACAAGCAATCACATGCAATATATTAATCAATAAATAACCTATAAATGAGCGCAGAAAAAAATTTAATCAATTCGCACAGACTTGACCGTCGTAAAGCCTGATGGCAGCAGGCAGAAATGGCTTTCTGTGGTGCTCTGTGGTTAACAAATGTAAATAAATGTAGTTGTAGTAGTAATCTTGGTGTACTACTAATATTAGTAACTGTAGTAGTCATAAAAGCAGAAGTAGTATTACCTGGTAGCAACAGAGAAGTACTACGACTACTACTAGTAGAATTAGTAGCAATACTAGTGTTAGTAGTAGCATCAGAACTTGTAATTATAGTATAGTAGTAGCAGTAGTAATAACAATTATAATAGAACTATTAGCAGTGTTAATAGTAACACAGAAGTAGCCACAGTGGTATTAGCAGCAGCAGTATTATTAGTTTTATTAGTAGTAGTATTAACAGCAGAATTAGTAGCAGCAGTAGCAGTATTAATAGAAGTAATAGTTCTGCTACTTCTGCTAATGACAAACTTTCAAAACAGTTTTTAGCACACATTAAGCTTTTTAGAATAATTAATCATGACATTTCTGCATCTAGCTGTTTGTGTTTTTGTTGTAACACATCAGCAAATTTGGAGGGAAGGTAAAAAAAAGAAAACTTTGCTCCCTTCATTTGAGTGCAGTTGCCAGAGATGTCTTGTGTGGTCTTGTTTGAGAAAGCAGCACATTCATTTAACCACACAGCAGTTGACATCAGCATGAATGAGCGGCACACATGCAAACATCGCGTGGTTTATTAACCAGAAGGAGGGTCTGAGTGATCAAATTATGACTTGCATGTTATCTTTAACTTATGAGTCGAGTGATTTTGTTAGAATGGCCTGGGGTGATATAAAAATCTGGGTTTTTGAGGTGTAGAAGCATTTGACATACAGTCTTTATGGGCTGCTGTCCAGCCATCATTTTAGAATTGGTTTACTGTCTGATGACAGCAAATAATAAAAAAAATATTCAAGTGGGAGCAGTTATCTTGGGAATTTGGCTGGATTACAGTGTAACAAAGTTCAGAAATTCAGAAAGACACAAACAGATGTGGCACCATGTGGAATACAAATGCTCTCAGCTGCTAAGATATTTTTTAATGTATTGAATTTAATGTCTGCAAATTTGTTCCACATTTTAATTTTCTCCAAATTGATCTAATCTTGAACCATTTGGAGAAAGCAATGGATCAAGTTTCATGCTGACGGTGGCCGATGTAGTACGATCATAAATCATTCTGTCATTTTTTATGACTTTAAATCTCACATTTCAACTTTTATCTACTGTAAGAAAATATTTTGAAATCATGACCCATGCTCTTAGCAGTATTAGCAGTATTCCTATGTTAAATTCCTGATTGAAAATAAAAACAGCACTTCTATATGAGAAAAACATTCCTAAGTCTTTAACAATCTTGTGATGTTTTTCACAGACTCCACAGGCAGAAGGCCCTCTTCTCCCCAGAGCAGTTCCTACCTCGTCTGGACGGGGTGCCAGTCGACTACGACAGCCTGACCCTGGATCTCTTCATGCTGGGCTACTTTCACATCTTGGAGTTGGATCTCCCTGTGGATGAAAGGAAAATGAGGCACTTGCTGTGCTTCGAGGTTTTCGACCGTTTGGGGACGTTCCCCTGGGAGACAATCAGAGAGTTTCACAAGGCGGTCGTTCAGGACATTGAGGCTGGGAACCGTGACTGGAAGGACGGCTTTGAGGACATTAAAGTGAAATTCTTTGGAAACACTGTGAGTGAATCTGAAAACGCGTCAACTGTAGTGAAACCCAGCCTGCCAGAGTTTAGACAGGTCCCTAAAGTCATTGTTCAAACACCTACGCCTGATGAGAACATGCTCTCTGGCGGAACTGACATTTCCAGCTTCAGCAATGAAGAAATATGTCAATACATTGATCGTAGTTTTGCTTTTTGGAAAGAGAAAGAGGCAGAAATCTTTGATTTTGAGTAGTTTACTGTATCTTTTTACATTTTTTATGCTTTGTAGTAAAAGATAACTAAGAATTATAAAGTAACTTGTTTCTATTAAAGAACATGATCTGCAGTTGAGAGAGAAGCTTTTTTGTGGTTTCTGTAATTACGACAGATACTGTCACGTTTTCTTTAATTCTATTCAATATTGTCGAATGTGACCTAATTTGTAAAAATTTTATACTGTTTTACTGCATTGTGCTTTAAGAATTAAACAGCAACGAATTTCAGAGTTATGTGTAATATTTTATCTGTAATTTAACATTAAATCTCAGGTATCAAACAAACATCATCAACAAAACTCTGATGCAAAAGAGTTTTTTACTTCAGATAACCTTCTGTCACTTGGGGTGAGTTGTTCTGCCTTTTTTTCTCAGAAGACCATTATGATTATGTTGAGAAACATCCACGTGTCAACACTGCTTCATTTATCTCCTTATGGAGATTCCAGGGCCGTTTCGGCAGAGCATGTGCCTTTGGCAGCAGCTGTAGGTCTCAGACTTGTTGTTTGCAATCTGACTTCAGCACAGCGTCACTCAGTCCTAAAAATAACAGACGGACAGCCAGTCCTCCCAAGTGACTTAGCAAACATTTGCCATGTTGCCCACTCCATGTTGATCTTAGCCTTGGTTGAATGCTTGTGTTTTGATTCAAGGATGAACCCTCATTTTCAAACGATCCATCTTGGGTGAGTTTTTGTTCTTTTTTGTCACCTTTTCACTAATTTAAGCTTTACTCTTGTTTGTACAATGACTAGAGTAAAGCTTAACTAAATTGTTTCAGTTTCAAAGAGACCTAATCAAAAGTATGCTTTGTTTTAAAAGGTAATGGCTGGAATTGTTTATAAAGAAAGCTTGATTAACCAAAATAGTGACAAGCACTTTATTTGTTGTATGATGCAGTTATTTTAAACTTCTAAGCCATCCTGAAAAAGTGGCTAAAAATATATATTTGTGCACTTCATTTGTTTTCAAAACTGAGAAAGTTTTGGTGGCATTTCAGAATCAGTTCTATTTGTGTTTCCTTTATACTTGTAGGAAAGTGCTGATCTGCTGACAGAAGAGTTTACATTTACATTTTGGGATAAGGTGATCATGGTGCGCAACGTGGATGATCTGGACTTCTGCCTGTCCTCCCATCCTCAGAGCATCCTGGAAGGCTTGCGTTTGCTCTGTTCACACCCCAAACTTGTGGATGTGACCCTGAGTGCAGGGGGAAGAGATTTCCCTTGTCACCGAGGGGTTCTGGCCCTCTGCAGCATGTATTTTCGCTCCATGTTTTCAGGGGACTTTGTGGAGAGCATTGCTGCTCGTGTGGAGCTCCAGGATGTCGATCCCGACATCCTCAGCTACTTGCTTGACTTTGCCTACACCGGCAAGCTGACAATAAACCAGAGCAATGTGGAGGGCTTGATTTGTACCTCTAGCCAACTACAGTTTCAGACAGTTCGAGCTGTGTGCAGCCGATACCTGCAGAATCAGATCGATGAGACCAACTGCCTGGGAATCCTGGAGTTTGGAGAGATCCACGGCTGTCCTGAAATTGTGGCCAAAGCACGGGCCTTCCTCCTAGAGACCTTTGAGGCCGTGCAACAGGGTGAGGAGTTTCTGTTTTTGGGGAAAGATCAGCTGACCGCTTGTTTGTCCGATGAAGAACTGAAAATCCGTTCGGAGTGCACACGCGTGGAAGCCATCTTGAAATGGGTGGGGCATCAGAAAGAGTCCCGACTGTGCCACCTTCCTGAACTCTTCAGCTTGTCACATTTGTCTCTGCTCAGCCTAAGCTACCTGACTGACACTCTGCTGAAAGACAGTCTGGTCCAGGCCTCCCCTCGCTGCAGGGAGGCAATTCAAGAAGTTTGTAGAGAGGTTTGTGAGTGCATCTAACCTCTCTTTCATATTTTCCCAAAATGGCATTCGATTACTAATGACCCTTGTTACTTTTATCTTTCTAGAAGCAAGATTTGGCACAAGAATATTCCGAAAGACTAAACTATCAGAGTCCACAACCAAACTTGCAAGAAGTACTGTTTGTGATGGGAGGACGTTCACTGGATGACGAGGATGATAACGATTCAGACGAGGATGACAACAGAGACCCAAGACTTCAAAGATTGCCATCCAAGAACTGTGCCTTCTACAACACAAAGACAAGTAGGGATATACAATTTCTACATTTCACACTGGCTTGCTTTCAGAATCTAACACTTTAAATTTTGCTGGGAACAGTCTGTCGGATTCCTTAAAATTGTTTGGCAGATATCGGAGGTCATTAACTGTGCCGTTGACAGGAAAACGACTCTTGGAGAGCTATGTTCTGGATGTGACAAAATTGGATCATCCTCTCAGTTCCGTAAATGAGTGTTTTATTGCAGCTGTTGATGGAAGGCATGTTAGATTTTTCTCAAGGGATTTTAAGGAAAAGATTGCTGCATCCCATTTTAAGACTTCTGGTTTCATGACAAGGCAAAATGACATTGGCCACAAATGGATTGTTTTGCCAAAAAAATTATGTTTCATTGCAGACTGCAAAGTAATGACCACTTAATGGTTCTCGAGAACATTTTGCATTTTTGCCTAATTTCCTTCATACTTTTTAGACATTATTTCATTACTGTGTTATTTTATTTATGGAGACTTTTATCCAGTTCCCCATAATGTCTGAATGTGCCTCAATAAAAATATTCTCCGTTTCCCTGCAGAAAAGTGGCATGAGCTGCCTAACTTCCCTAATCCCAACAAGTGGGGTTATGCCATGGTGACCCTAAACAATGATGTTTATGTAACAGGTCAGTTCAGCACCAGATGTTAAAACAAAAGACAAACATTCAGATAAAAATGATGACATCTACAACTTTTTGAGTAAATTGCTTGAGGTCCTCCCTCAAGAAAAGGATTATATCAGGCTTTTGACAAAGTGCGTTTGTCTGTGCGATAAGGGGGCTCGCGAGGTTTGAACACTAACTCATGGTCGACCACAGAGACCTGGAAGTACATCATGAAAGAGGGAAGATGGGTTACTGTGGCACCAATGATACGGCCCCGGACAAATCACACGTCGGCAACACTTAATGGCGAGCTTTATGTAATCGGAGGTGAGAAAATATAACTATCTGTGCTACTATCTTACAGCTGTTAGCAGTGTTGGACAAACTATTTAAGCTCCTTTTCAACTTAGTTCAATTTCCCCTGGTCCTGTGGAGGGATAGGATATTAAGAATCTGTATTTCTTTCTTGTAGTGGAACACAGTATTTTCCAAATATTTTCAAACCCCTTGAATATTTCCACTTTTTGTCAAGATAAAACACACACGCACACACACATGCGCATCTTCATTATATGATATACAAAATAGTGGATGTTTGTTAAATGCAGGGTCTCTAGCACTCCAAATCATAAGGACACAGCTACAGTGGTTGGAAATGGTTATAGCTTATTGATGTGTGCAACAATTCAGTTCACGTCCAGATCGACATCCAATTAAGAATCTGTGACAAGACTTGAAAACTTGTTGTGGATCCTCTTCATTCAATCTGTCTTAGCTTGAGCTTCTTCTGACTGGACAAAAGTCAATCTCTAGATGTGCATGGCTGTTATAGACATACACCAAAAGGCTTGCAGTTGGTTCTACATAAGACTCAGGGGGACTGAAAGCAAATGCACACCACACTTTTTAGATTCTTAACAGTAAAGAAGTTTGAAAACTACCAATTTTCTTACCCAATTCAGTTATATGCTACTAGGTTATATAATTGTGTTGCTGTGTCATAAGATTTGGGTTGTCACATGATGAAATGTGGTATGAATGCTTTTGACTGTATTGTCAAGAGTTATTGCAGTTGGTTTTATTATCCACACTGTACTATTTAAATATAATTCCCACAATTTTCGTTTTCCTGTTTTAGGCACGACGTCGGCTCAAGTTGAGGTTGAGCGTTACGACCCTTACAGTAACTCCTGGGCATTGACGTGTCCTGCTTTAAAATATGTGACCAACTTCACAGCCACAGCGTGTTTTGGAAAGCTTTTTGTGATTGGATCATGCGCAGTGAAGTACAATGCACTGACCATGCAGTGTTACAACCCTGTCATAGGTAAGGTGGATTTCAGAATCATGTCACTGTTGTTAGACACAACTCAATTTCATCTGCAAATTTTTCAATCAAAAACAGGGCAAAAAATAAATAAATAATTCAGCACAAAAATCTGATAATTTCTGTATTCTTTATAGATGCCTGGATCAGTATAGGGTCACCCTTCATCCCCAAGTATTTGTCGTCTCCTCGTTCCGTCTGTATGGATGGGATAATATACCTGTTGGCTGATAACACAAAGAAAGTTTACTCATATGACCCAGAGGCAAACATGTGGCAAAAGGTGGGCTATTGAAATCAAACTAGATGCTATCATGGCAATGGAAATATAAAAACAGCATTCAAAGCAGAACCCCTTTTGAAGTCCTTTAGTGTCAGTCAAAGCTCTGACTTTTTAATGTCTCCAGGTCCAGCTTCTTCACATGCTTCATGAGAATGGTGGCCTCGTATCCCTGGATGGACAGTTGTATGTCACGGGCGGCCACTGGAAAGGAATGGAGGGCGACTACGGGGTGGAAGTGGAGGTTTACAACCGAGCATCCAACACCTGGGATGTGGAATGTTTCCTCCCAAGACTTTGGTTCTACAGTGGAGTATCCACTATATTCCTAGACCCATCCCAGTGGCCTGAACTTCCACCCATAGATTTGACATAGATATCTTTAAGGCCTTAATTGTTTCAGTTTTGGGGGTCAGTGAGTTCAGAGTGACATACCTGGCATGTGTCGACTGGTGGAGTGCAAGTATCAAGTCAATCAGAAGATGTCCTTTGTGCCAAGAATAGTGTGCCACATAACCCTCTGGCAATCTCAATGTATTAATGCATGCTTTAGTGCTGAACAGGTGTTTTCATGTATTTGACTGCTGACCTCTTTTGTTTTATGGTACTAGTGAATATTTTTATGTTACTTTTTGTTTTGTTTTGCAGAAATTGTTTCAAAGCATCTGCTTTGAGCATTATTATGAAGCGTCATTACTCATATTTGTTGCTACAAATGAACTATGATGGTTCTCAAAATAAAAAGGATGAATAAAAACAAATGTTTTCCGTGAGTGAAAGTACCTTTAAAGCTTTTGAAACGCGGGTTTGTCCCGTTTAATTATTAACCCATTGGAACGCAGCGGTTTGGCTCGCGGGTTACAGTCCTCCAATTCTGTTCCCTTGACAACTCTGCTTGTCCGCGGTTACCATGGTGAACTGTTTGGGATTAGAGAGCTTTGCTGTGGCTTCAGTTGATTCTGAAGTTTCTTAACTTTAACTCCTACAATTATTTAAACGCGGGGGACGGGAGGGTTGTTTGTTTGCCTTTTTCAAGAACGAGCCTACTTAGTTCCATGTCACTGGCATAATAAGTTGTTGTTGTTGTTCGCCATGAATTCTCAAAAGGTTCCCAGGCTTTTGCAGCAGAACGCGAGCTAACTTTAAAGCAAACAAATTACTGAACGCTTAAAGGTATAAAACTTTTAATGGTTGAACTTGGGAAAGTTTTATAATGAGTTCTCGTCGAGAGCAAGATGGACACTCACCAAGACTGGAGGCTGTGATTCAGGTCGGTACCCTGACATTTCTTCACCGCTTTCAAACTGCGTCATTGTTGCTAGTCGAGGGCTGCGGAGTTGAAGACGGTGAGGAGAAGCGCAGGTGAGGAGAATTAAGCTAATTAAAGAACAAGAACGTTCCTGAAGGGAGTGGCACGCCTGCTATTTCTCACTAGCCTGAAGCTTGTTTATGATAATATATGAGAGCCGTTTCATGTAAAACTCAATAAATAAGCAGTTATTAATCAATAACTAAACATTACATTAATTAAAAATGCCCCATAATGTAGAAACAAACAAAAACAGTTGCATTTTCCAGGCGAGTTTATTTGGTCAATCACAGTTTTAGGCAATTACTTGTTAGTTTATGTATTCGGTTCCAAAATGATTTGATAGTTTAATGACTATTCGTGTGCCTATATTGTCATAACCATTATGAAACGTATGCAGTTATATTCACAATCATAGATGTGTCTCTTCAAAAGTATAAAACTCCAAATCTTTGATTTCTAAAGCGCAAGTGTATTGGAAACGCTGCATGTTCAATTCGAAAACAAAGCCTGAAGAATTCTATGTCTAATTTATCATAACTGGGAAAAAAAGAAAAGAAAGAAATACTCAGTTATTCGAAAATGTGGCGGTGTCTGATTTTTTTTCTTAAAGAAGTCTGACATTTACTGTGTATAAACCTGGGAAAACACGCTTGAAAATTCAGGTCTCCTCTAAATCACTAAAGAATTTAGTTCAGCAGCTGCTTCTGAGAACTGCTTCACATCTGTAGTCGACCAACTGCTAACAGGTATTCCAGCTCAGGACAATTGGACTACATTCCAACATTCCTCTGCAATTTCTTATTTTGCCTCTGAAACAGCAGGTTTGATGTCGCCCCTGGAGTATTGTTTTCATTATTGGACTGATTGGGCTGTAACATCAGTCTTTTTTTTTCTGGATGTTGTTTTCTCGCTGGTATGTTTATTGATAGTTTTCCCCCACTCTTAGAACTTCTCCTCTTTGGCAAAAGTCAACATGATCCCTTTTCCATTTTGGATAATTGATCCATTCGAATGGCAGTTTTCCATTTTCTTCCATGTCTTTTCGGTTTTAGTTTCTGTTTTAAAGCATTTGAGAAAATTGCAGAGCAGCCTATTATTTTCTGCACATTTTTATGTTTTACCTTCTCCAATCAACTTTTTAATCGTAGCACACTGTTCCTATGAACAATGTGTGGAACAATCCCAGAGGAATGCACCATAACCAGCATGTTCCACTTTGTCCTTAAATAAGGGCTGCCTGTTTGGAGCCTGTTTTTTCCTGGAATGAATGATCTAATTGATTAATCTCCACATTACTAATATTTCTGAACACATCCCTTGTAACCTGATGATTCAGTTACTCAGAATCAGCAGCAGGCATGTCATGACCGTAGAGTCTATTGGTTTTCTATTATTCAACTACAGCCTCTGCTTGTTTCTACCAAAAAATATCCAGCGCTTAACCTGGTTAGTGATGTAGGACTGCAGTTATTTTAAACACAACTGTGCATATTTTAAAATAGTTTTCACTGTTACCGGGAATATCACCAGATATTAGCCCTGGCTATTGGAATCCGATGCAGTGTGCATTACTGTGCATCCAGTATAAACTTGCTTCAGTAATTTATCATTAGTTGTAGATTATTTATTATAGCAATCTTTTATCTGATTAATTTTTCTTTTCCTCCTTTCTTTAGCTCTAATCTAGCCTTTTTTCTCCTAAATCTCTAAGTGTGAACACTTTAATTGAGTTCATAATCTGGTATAATTTAAACTTAATAACTTTATTCAAATTCAAAAGCACTTTATTAATCCCAAAGGGAAACTAAATAATCAAGTATACATGCCAAGGTAATGCTTATTAAAAAACTTACAAGTAATGTTGTTAGGGTGAAAAAGCAGGACAAAAAGGTAAAAGAGTATGCCTCTATCATGGGAAATAAAAAGTAGATCCTCTCTTATAAGCATATATAATTAAAACAATATAAATTAATGATAATTGAACCAAAAATTATTCCATAGTCTCACTATTTTTTTTAACAAAATGTAAACCTAAAATGAAAAAGTTGTGTGTGAAAAACACCCTAGCTGCTTACATAGGAATTAGGAAACAACTTATTTATTTAATGGAATTGAATTTTAGTAAGTGTGACCATCTTTTCACATACTGGCATTTTGGGAGTGCAGCAAACTACTGCAATGGGCCAGTCAAAGCCCAGACCCCATCCTGACTTAAATGTCGTGACAGAACCTCACAAGAGCTTGTGAAATGTGTGTGTTTGAACATCATTGAACCGAAGTAATGTTTTAAAGAAGAGTAGTCTATCATAGGAGTTTGGGAGCCCAGATGCCTGGGATCTATGGAGAGGCTCTGAAAGTCAGTGTGACCTTTGAGTTTGTTACTCAAACTGAATTCACAGCTTGAGGAACAAACTGTGAATTCAGTTTGACGTGAATTCCCAGAAGAGCTCGGTATGTCAGCTTTGGGCCTACAGAAGCCTGCTGAGCAACTCTGCTACAGTGTTGTATAATAATGAAGTAAAAATACTTCACTACTTTACTTCAGTATATTTTGGAGTACTTCATACTTTCCTCGAGTATGAAAATTTTGGATAACTTTCACTTTTACTTCACTATATTTCCGAACTTAATTACATACTTTTACTCCGATACATTTTCAATGTGTGGTTTAGTTACTCATTACTTTGACGGAGGAGCCGTCACGAGTTAGGACCTAATTAAAGAGTTAACACACACAAACACACGCAAACACACGCAAACATACACAGACATACACAATCGCTAACTTACGTTTTGTTGCAGCTTGGACTGGTGCGGTACATCGTGGGTCACACGCGGTGTTCCCACTTCAGTTAACATTAATCCTTATCTGTCATTTTCAAACATTTTCCCGGCTTTATTTTCAATTGGCTTGTTTCCGGATTGTGACACACTGGGAGAGAGTTGCGTGATGTGGTGACGTCATCAGAACGTACTGAGTATTGGCTGTTAAATTGATTATTGTATTTTTTGGATTACAAGTTTATTTATTTTTTTCACTTATTAATTATTTTGTATACTTTAAGAATTTATTTGAGTTAGGAGTAATTGCTTAGTTTTTATTTTGTTTTCTTAATTTGACTTTCTGTGGGTGGAGCCTGTGGCTTTAAAAGCAGGGCCCTGTTCAACAGGAAGTCAGTCTGAAGCTGGACTCTGGAGAACTCACACTGGAGGTGAGAACTAAGGTACTGCTGTGTTGATTTTAACCTGCCATGGATGTCTTTTGTATATACTTTGTACGTGTCATCTTTGTTCACTGAATAGATAATAAAATTCACTGAAGTGATCTCCGGCCTTGGAGAAAAATCTATGTTGTGGAGAACCTGAGCCAGAAGAGAATCAGTGGAGGGAGTTTAAGATTGCAAGGTGACCTTCCAACCTCAAAGACTTTGAGCTCATCACCAAAGATATATTGTCAAAAAAAAATCAGTGGGAACATATAAAAACCTGAGAAGCAATCATAAAAAAATGTTTGATTGATGTCACGCCAATAAAGATTTTTCCACTGATTACAGAGAATATAAATCAATTTTAACATGCCTTTTTCCAAGACAATCTATGTATTTTTTAAAATATATAATCCTTTTGCATAACCATCTAATTTCTTGGTAGAAATTAACTCCTTAGTGGAAAGAAAATCATTTTACCATAAATCTGTCGATAATATTTTTGGGTAGTACCTGATATTGTCTTTTCTTTCCCTTAAAAAGGAGGGAAGACTTTCGGCATAAGAACCCAGGAGGGGAATTGAAGCGTCAAGGTCCATAGCCTCTGTATACAGGGCGCCTGCTCTAACCACTGTGGCACTCAATGCCCTTACATATGTAATTTATACCTATAACTATAGGAATTATAGGAACATTTACTAGGTTTATTTTTTGTTGACAGAACATCATTTGGAATGTTTAATGTGTTGTAAATCAAACACATTGAGGTTCCAGCAGTTCAGACAGAGAAGTATTTAGGAGTGTAATATTAATATTATTACCTCTGGACTCCATAAACAAATTTTACAATGTGTAGATTTTAATATGTATCACTTGTATTAAAAATGCTTTTGTCAACTTTTCTTGAGCATCAAAGAGTGATACAAATTAAGTTCTAGAAAGTCCTTTAACAAGAAAAGTTTAATATTAATGCTAATGAGTTGGTTTTTCACGCTCATTTTTTCCAACTTACATCATGTTAACAAACATTATACATCATGTTATGTTATTCCCTCAAACATACCCTGAGTGACCCTAGCACTGCCTTAGAGGATGAAAATCCTCTAAGGCTTTTAACAATACTACATACAAGTTTCCAAGCTTCCGGTTCACAGAGCAAGCCTCCCTTCATACTCCCCCTCTCAGCTCCTTCAGACTAGCCAGCAGCAATTAGCTAACTCCCGGCGGAACTCACATCTGCTCAGCTCATTATACAGTCTACTTCTCAGTGAAACGCCAGTAAAAACGTTGCTAGAGGTTTAATAGAGAAGTCATGTTGTGATGACTTCCTGAAGGCGGAGTTTCAGAAAGAGACAGAGGCCCAATTTCAAGGCATTAAATTGCAAAGTAATTTTTTTTTAAAGTTATGTTTGACCTACACAGCATTTTAATAACTGAAGTTAACAGTTACCTGATTGTGCCACAAAATGGCACTATGTGCCTGGAAAACAGATAGTACTTCCCCTTTAAGTGACATGTTGGGCATAATGTTGTCATTGTAGAAATTGGAGACGACTCTGCTTCAGTCAGACAGCAACTCAGGAGACAGAAGTCTGATACTTCAAGGGAATGTGGAAGAATCTGGAGCTACTCCTATCCCCATCGCCTCTCACATTTGTCAGATCATCGCCCACAACCTGGCTGAACAGCCTGCTGGTAGGAGCGCAAGCTTCACTTGTCATTCCCAGACAAAAGCACTGATTATGCATTGCATTAGTTCTGCCTCTCACGCTGCTTTGTCAGGTACCATCACATGCAAAGCCTGACACCTCTATATAACAGATCCGAATCTGTTT